AGCCTGTCTTCTGAGGTACCTCTGTGTAGATTAAAACCATCAACCTTTCAGCTAGTAGTCAAGCACTTAACCGTTTGTGCTACCCAGGGATTTCTATATGTGTGAGTTGTAAGACTCACACATACATATATATGAAAATCCAGCTCAGCTATAAGACAGTCCAACTAAAAATGAGCAAAAAAATTGAACAGAAATTACACCAAAGAAGATATATTGATGGCAAATAAGCACATGCATAGAGGCTCAACATCATTTGTCATTAGGAAACTATAAGTGTAAGCTATAATGAGATGCCACTAACCGCCACCTAGAATGGCTGAAATCAAAAATGCTGAGCATATGAAGAGTTTGAGGAGGATGTGGTATAAATGCAACTCTTATATATCACCAGTGAGTACAAAATTGTAGGACATTTTGGAAAACAGTCTACCAGTGTCTCATAAAGTTAAACACCATGTGATCTAGCTATCTCATTCCTAGTTATTTATCCATGAGAAAGTTTATTTTGTAGGCCTTGAGAAGGTTGTTGATTGAAGAAGATTGGGAGGCCTTTCCTGTGAAGATTATCCTCATAGCAATAGATTAGCTGAGTTAGGAAAATGGATTTAAAAAACAAAAAACAAAGATCAACTGGGCATCACAGTTACTTTGAGGAGCTTGCTAAATATACAAAGTCTGATTTTGCAGCTCTAGGAAGGGACTCAGGAGTCTACATTTTGATGTTAGTGGTTTCAAATCACATCCTGAAATCAAAAAAATGTTAGCTTAAGAAAAGTAAACCAACAAGAAAGGAATCAATGAAAGTATCTACATGAAAAACATATAAAAGATCTTAACCGGGGACTAACTGGAAATGTAAAGTAAGAGTCAAACTTTAAAATTGAAAAAGTATAACCAGGAGAACAAAAACCAGTTGCCGTGGAGTAGATTCCGACTCATGGCAATCCTATATGTGTCAGAGTAGAATTGTGCTCCACAGGGTTTTCAAGGATTGAATTTTTGCAAGTATATCACTAGGACTTTCTTTTGAGGTATCTCTGGGTGGATTCAAACCTGCAACCACTGGGTTAGCAGCTGAGCTCGTTAACCATTTGCAGCACCCAGAGATTCCAAACTGATGACTGATCCAGCAGATAGATATTACTAAAGATAGCCTGGAAGTTTGGACTCAGTTGCTAAATATTAATGCTATCACTCATATAGAAAAGCCAGGAAGAACACATTTGTTAAAGAACTTGATGGGTTCAGGCTGGGACTTCTGAAATTGAAGGACTTTCAGGTGGAAACCGTTGACAGTGATGGTTCAGGAAGTGATTAGAGAGATGGATTTTATCAATTCCTGCATAGAGATAATAATTGAAGGCATGGGGGAATGGGTTTATCACCAATGGAAAAAATACCTTTGGAAAAAAATGTTTAAGGAATCTTGGGGTCTACTTACCATATTCTGAGTGAGCAGAGAATAATGAGTCAAAAAGGAAACTGAAAAGGGCAATCAGTAGAGAGAATCGTAAATACAGACTGAACTATACAGCTTACAAAGAACTTCCATAAGAGTTTCACAGGCAGGCATTGTAATTTTGTACAAACTGGGAAAGGATGGTTAAATGATTTAACCAAGGTCAAGTAGATAATTTATATGAGCTGCTCAAATATTGGGTAACTCTCCTGGTTGCAAGTCCAATGTTCTTTCCTTTAGAGAATATTGGACACACAAGTATGCATAAATGACAGAGTATAGCACTATTGGCCTATAAAATAATTAAAGCATACCAAATTTTAGAATAAAAAGAATTATTTCTGGATAAATTCGTAACTAATATAATAGTAATCACTTGTCTATGCCATTGGCTACTTCTGTATTGCAGGTTAGATTAGGCGTTACCTTGAATTTTTTCAGCGAGAATAAGGAGATTTTCAGTAGAATGGGACTTGGCTTAATTTGTTGAAATCTGAAGTGAAAAAGTGGTTTTAAGGGAACATATCGTAACTACTATTCTGCAATTAATATTGAGGAAACCAGGACTTTCTGTTCAGCCATCCCCAGGAGAAGTAATTTTTAGTAGTTTCATACTTGCCGATAATTTTGTACGTTACTTTGAAGAATAGATGTACGATAATATGAATTGGAAAAATGTCAGTAAGGCTAAAAAACATTTCATCTTTAAGATAACGTTTCTCTCTCTTTTTTATATTAAATAAATGAACTAGATCTGCCTTGGGTTTAGAGTTCATGCTTCATGTATACTGATATTTAAAAGAATTGTGTTGCCTTCTTTCATTTAATGTAGTGAGAGCTAAGTCACAAAAGGAAAAATGTTTTCAGAGCAGAGTCAATAGACAACTCGGAAACATGGTCACATCCTTCCCATGACTTTTAGCTTCCCTCGTTTCACCCACATTGCAGCAACTGCAACATACAGATGCATTGGGATTGAATGACTTCATTAATCTCCTCAAGCTGATTTATTTTCACTGTAAAACTTGCAAGGCTTACACTGCACAACATTTACTAAGTAGTTCTGGTCAACAAAATTAATATTTTTGTTTCCAGATCACACAATATTGCTGTCGAATATTTAGATATTTTCTAACAAAATGCTATTCTATGCACAGGATCCTGGTGATCCAGAGAACTTCCAAGGGAATCAGATAAATTTGTCCATATAGACACAAAGTAAACCCTCAGCTATCATAGTGTTTTTTAAAGAATCTGTGCCTTGTATTCAGCTACTCAAAGAAACTGCTGGGTTGTAAAACTGCAAAAATTGACTGCATTATCTCCCTTGCTTTTGGTGGTAAATCAACTCTAATGAATCTGAATAACTGGAGTCTCTGTATACGAGTGCTTTGGCAAGAAAGTGGTGACAATCATCAGTACTATAGAAGATCCATTGGATGTGAATAGATATTCAGCTACTTAGTAATTATATGAGTATTGTGGAGACTGGAGCTGTAGTAGAAAGAACTCAAAGAAAGCAAGCTGTTTTGCTCTAAAAATAAATCAAAAGAGTTTGTTGAACTCTCAACAGAAAAATAGTTTTGCTAAGCTGAATAGAAGTAAATTTACATTTTTAATATTTAAATTCATTGATGTACATATCTGTGCTACATGGAAAACTATGCAAATAACATTTCCCCATTTGCTATAAATACATTTACTGTGTTAGTACTGACTAGCCAACTTTTTCATCAACATTTTTTATATCTTTCATTCTCATTTAAAACTTCATTATGAACATTAATGAACACTTTTTATTTCTTTCCAATATTAACTACCTTTTTATTTTGTTTTCCTAATTTATTACTATTTTCCAAGCTTTTGTACTATTTGTGCGTTCTTTCTTCCATATTTCTTGTTTTTCTTACTTTCACAGTGAGTTCATTGTGACTAATAAATGAATAGAGTGTTTAAACATCCAATAAAATTTATCAGTGAAGATGGTTACACTGGCAATTGTTGGTATAATTAATTATGAGCACTGGTAGACGTTCAAAAAGGCTTAGGGAGTTGGAGTTAGAGAAGAAGGGGATAAAGAACAGAAACATCTAGGTTGATGGTGAGGGGGTGGTGTGTAATAATGGGTGAAGGTACTCATTACGAGTTATGCATTTTAGGATCTGTTCCATTTATGCTGCAAGCAGCAGTGTGCCCTTGGACAGGTCAACACACTTCTTTCTCAGTTTCCTTATCTAAGTAATGAAGAGGTTGAACTTTAAGGCCCCTTCCAGCTCTAGAATATCATGATCTATTGCAAAGAAGTAACTATGCAGATGTGACATAGTGTGATTAGGCACTTGTGTTGCACGTCATTTAATTGGTTTTCTTTGACTGTCGACCCTCACAACAAGGAGATTGAGAGAGAGAGCTTAGTAACCGCTAGTTGGACATGGCAACGTTGACTGCGTATTGAGAGTACACCAATGAATACTTACGTTGAGTTACAGCAGTGGTGAAGTCAGTATTATATCCAGGATGTCTCCTTAAATGGTGATGATGTCAATTATTATTTAAAATAACCACATGAGTTAAAAGACTCCTTCTTAACAGATTGCAAAGTATGAGTATATTATTAACAACATGGTCAATGCTTAAGTTACTTTTCTGTACTCTTTGACTGAACAGATTGTCGGACCACATGCATGTTAAGTGTACTATAATACAGAAAATCAATTACTGCACCCTCCAGTATATTACAGGGCGAAGCTATTAAACATTTCATCAGGAAATTGTAAAGTACAGCTGTAAAGTTCTCTATTGTTGGGAAGCCGTCATTACAGTACTTACAGGTACTTACAGGTACTACAGTACTTACTAGGTATTTACCACCAGCCTGTAAAATCTACCATGCCAAGTTTCACAGTAACCTTGTTAACATTGAGCATTAGCGAATGTTAACATGAAACAATTTGGTGGAGGAGACAGTTAAGGGGGTGATAATAAGGAATAAAAATCAAATGTTTTCACATAAGAGCCTTCCTGTGTTATCTCTACTGTTGACATCTGCCCATGATGCAAGAAAGAAAAAAAGTTCTGTCTCTGTTTTTTAAAGAAATATCTTTGTTGCTTTAGCCTTTAAATCTGTTTGCAATATAAGATATACGCAAACTGATCACATTTTCTTTTAAGGTGTGTTTGGTGTACTTGAAAGGCGCAGCAGGTAGATGCTGTTCAACCGATTATCTCCAGTGAAATTCGTCTCCAAAGACAGGATTTTGAGCTAAAGGGGGCGGGGGGCGGGCTGAGGAGACAGATGGTTAGTTTATAGTGCATATAGAACCTCAGCATTAACTTTCAAACAGGAGGACTCAAGGGCTTGGCAGCATCCCAAAACTGAACTATTTTCCATTGATTGGTATGAATCACTTTCTCACTTCTGCCTGTACCTCTTCTACCATCTACATCACTAATGTGCCAACAAATCTGCAATTAACCTTTTTATCACTCTATGCTGAGACATGTACCATGGTGTTTCTGATCCTTGTCCATTTCTTTCCAGACAGAGCTTTTTGTACATGCCTTCAAGGATCAACTGGTCAGGAGTGCACTTTTAGCACTCTACACTGCCAGGCCAGGTGGCGTCCTTAAGAAACCACCCTCTCCTAAGAGCAACACGGAGGAGAGCAGTCCCCAGGGCCAACTCCCACCCATGAGAAGGCAGGACTCCATACCACACCATTCAGACTACGATGAGGAAGAGTGGGTAAGTCTCTAGATCTCTTACACACCACTTGCCTCCCAGTGTTTTGCCCTGAGAGATACAGCAAGAATGCTAAGAAATTTCTGCTCTTTATCAAAACATAATTTGGAAAAATCATAAGACAGATTGAGGATAAATCATATTTTTCCTTAGGGGCAAATTATAATTGTAAGTTGTATTCCCAATCAAGAGCTTGCTATCAAATAAATCACATATGTAACCAACAATATGTCACTAAAGCAAAGATACCAAAGTTACTAAGTTCTATAATACTTTTGCTTATTTACTACCAAGGTAATATAAACCATTAAAAATTTTTTTAGGAAAAAAAATTGTCAATAATAACACTACTTGGATACCACAAATATTTTTATTGTTTCATATTCCATTCTAATCCATTAGTGGTGGGCAAACTTTTTTTAAAATTACCATTTAAATGATTTGAGTCAAAGAGATCTCTTAAATCTTTCTTATTCATGATTCTATGATTAAGTCAAGATGTTATTGCAGGTACTCGAAAATTGGCGGAAACATCTGAAAAACTAGCCAGTAAAGCAAATAATTAAAAGCAAAAGCCAACATGGTTATAGGAATTTTAAGTGCCTTAAGCTGCTATTGAGTCGACTCTGACTCATTGCAACCTTAGGTACAACAGAACAAAATGTTACCTGGTCCTGCGTCATCCTCACGAACTGCAAGCATGTCTGACACCATCATTGCAGCTATTGTGCCAATCCATCTTAGTGAGGGTCTCCCATGCTCTTGCTGGCTGTCTACGTCACTAATCACAAAGTCCTTCTCTAGTGATTGATCTCTCCCATTGATGTGTCCAAAGCAAGGGAGATCTATTCTGATCTACAAGGTTTTCATAGACTGATTTTTCAGAAGTAGATCTCCAGGCATTTCTTCCTAGTCTATCCTAGTCTGGAAATTCCACTGCAACCTGTCCACCCTGAGTGACCCTGCTGGTATTTGAAATACCAGTGGCATAGCTTCCAGCATCACAGAGACACACAAGCCACCACATTACAGCAAACTGACAGATGGATGGTGGATAGGAACTCTAGTTGGGCAGAATAGAAAGGGGGGACGTAAAGACGGAGAGCAAGAGGCAGCAGTGTGCTATGACTGAATCAATGCATATTAATTATCTAAGAGCCTTCCAAAGTATATGCACATCATGTACAGAAAAAAGGAAACCCTTTATTGTATCATAGGTTCAACAACAACAAAAATAGTGAGCTAGTTATATTAGCTGTTAAACACTTAGTTAACAATTACTCTTCTTGTCACCCTAGAATTTAAAAGTGTTCAGGGAGTGAGTTATTTAAAGGCCCAGGTCTCTTTTAAAAAACGCTAGCTAAGAGGCTGTGAAATGATGCCTGCTCTTTCTTTGGAAAAATCTGTCACAGGAAAGATAGAGCTGAGTTCCGAGAGGTAAAAGCTGAATAAGTGTTTGTTGTTGCTGATTAAGATTGCATTTCTCCCACTGAAGCATTTTCAAAAGAGCAAATCTAATATTATTTCTCCCTTTTACCTTCACCTTCTTCCTCAATTTATTCACATCTCACAGGCATGCACACCTCTTAACCTCTCTGAAGTTCAATTTTCTCAACTGCAGAATGAAAATAACAGCACCTGGTCTGCTTAGCTCTGGGGGTGATCACGAGATAAATGATCTTACCATGTGGTGATGTCCTACTGCCTGCAGAGGCCTGGGCAAATGCATTGTATCACTTTAGTATTATAGTTACATGTTTGTTTTGTAACAAATGTAAATTATATAATCTAATTATGAGGATCAGTAATATGCCTTGAGGTAAGTAGCAAAACTTGATGTATCAAAAAATGTGGATTTTAAATGCATATATAAAATGGAGCCCTGGTGGCACAGTGGTTAAGAGCTTGGATGCTAACCAAAAGGTCAGCAGTTCGAATCCACCAGCCTCTCCTTGGAAACCCTATGGGGCAGTTCTACTCTGTCGTATAGGGTAGCTATGAGTCGGAATCAACTCAACAGCAACAAGTTTGGTTTTTTTTGGTTTTTATATCATAAAATGTGAAGTGTATTCCCTTAAAATGTGAATTTTAAAGAGTTTGAGGTAGTAATAGGAAAGAAGTTATATTTCATTTAATTAAATATACAGTGTTTGTCTTTTGACAAATCATTACTGTTTCTGTATTAAACCAAGTGAGAATTGTGTAATTGGGTGTCTTTAGTTTTCATTGTTTTTACCTTACTCTGTTATACAAATAAACCTTGCCCACACCTCACTTTCACCTTCTTCCTCGAAAATGTCCCTTAATATTCCCTTTTCTTTAGATAATTATTGAGACCTTTTATATTATAGGTGCTCCAAATGCAAAGGTAAGTAAGGTTAGCTCCTTGCTTCCTGCAGCTCATAGTCTGTTGTTAGGTGCTGTCGAATTGGCTCCAACTCATAGTGACCTTATGTATAACACAACGGTATGTTGCCTGGTCCCGTGCCATCTTCATGATCGTTGGTAGCTCAGTGTCTTAGTTCCTTAGTGCTGTTATAACAGAAATACCGCATGTGGGTGGTTTTAACAAACATTTACTTTCCCAAAGTTTAGGAGGCTAGAAGTCCGAATTCAGGGTGCCAGCTCTAAGGGAAGGCTTTCTCTTTCCGTTGGCTCTGGGGAAGGGCTTTGTCTCTTTTCAGCTTCTATTCCTCAGTTCCTTGGTGATCTTCATGTGACATGTATCTTCCCCTCCATTTATACTTCCTTCTCTGTGTCTAATCTGCTGTTTTTGTATCTCAAAGGTGATTGGGTTAAAACATATCCCTACACTGATATGGTCTCATAAACATAAGAAAAAGTCCTATTCCCATATGGGATTACATCCATAGTTATAGGGGTTTAAGATTTATAACACATATTTTTTGGGGACTTGATTCAATCTGTAACACTCAGAGTCTAGTAGTGGATAAAATCATGCTAACAAATGGTTACAAAATGCTGGGATAATGGTTGGAGAGACATAGATGGTAGAAGATAGCCTCTGCTAAGATGACTTCAACTCAATTCTTATGAAATTTAAAAATACAGAACCTTCCTTTCGATGGGGCAAGAAAGAAGAGAGTGGGAAATGTGTCTTTAGTTGAAAAAGTTTAGGGTGAACCATTCAACTCAATGGGCATCACTGAGCACCCGTCCTGCGTGGTGCACTGTCCAAAGATGAAAAATCTCAATGAGCCCACAGCCTATTCAGGGCTCTAGAAAGGCAAATGACAATGACAGCACAGCATTAGAAATGACACCGTAGATGTGTACACAGGGTGTGTCAGGAGTATAGTCATCACAGTGGGATTTTCAGAAGAAATTCTTGAGATTGAGATGTGAGTAAAAGTTAGTCATTCCAAAAGCAAGAGGAGGTAGCCCTTTAGACAAACACATTAGCTGGCATTAGGGAGAGAGGCCGTGTGCGTCTGTTCTATTATTAGTTTCTTCTTAATTTGTTTTATGTTAAAGGTGGTAAAAATCGAGTATGTTTATCCACCAAAAGGGAAAAGCCATTGGAGAGACATAGAAGGGGTGATTGATGGAGCAAGGGTCTTATAAAACAAAGAAATCAAATCAAGTCTAGTATGAAGGTGGGAGGAGAGTCCCAGGTAGGATTGTGCCCTTTCTGCCGAGACTGTTGATGGACTTTTTTGAGGCCGATGGGGCTAGACGATGAGTTGGGCTAGACGATGAGTTGGGATAGGCAGGAGGGGCTGAGTAGAGTAGTGAGGGTTTCAATAGGCACCAAGGAATATGGGTAAAGGAGCTTATTAGCAACACTGGAAAAAGTTAGGAAGCTTTCCAGTGAGTGTGAAGGGCCAGTCAAGTTTGCAGTATCAGTCCCATGGCTGTTGGCTGGCCCTTGATCACTCTCTTGGGAATACTTTGGTCCTCTTGAGACTAGGAAAATTGCTTCCAGATTTTGTTCCCAGTTGATGGAGGGGCATCTTCTCAGTTTCCCAGTTCTTTTGGATTCTTTCAAAAACAAAAAGAGTAGAGTGACAATGAATGTCTTGAATCTCTCTTTGTGTCTCCTCTTAGTTCAGCTCTGAGAGTTTCCTTTGGAACCCATTGTTTCTAGAAAGCATATAAAAGCTTGGTCTAAATTACCACAATTAGAAGAAAAATCTTTCACACTCAGAGTAGTTACTCCTAACTACCCCCCCCCCACATATAGTTTGCAAACAATAATCAAGTTTGATTGCATACAACATTCCTGTCAACGTTCTTTAGCAACCACTTTCTATTAAAAAGATCCCTCCATCAAGGGATAGAAATCCCTTATGAAAAAACAGGAAGTTAAATTGGAATTATAAAAAAATTCACCAGAATCATAACATTTGACATTATTTTCTAACTTTAAAAAATTGAGTAAATGCAACAAAAATGTAGCTAACTGAAAATGCCTTTAGAGACTGTGCTATTAAATGAATTGGAAATATAAGTTTGTGTACTGTTTTTCTTAGTTAATTAGTTGTTAGAAAAGTTCCAGCACTGATTACAAGTCTAGTCAACTTCCTGAAATAATTCAATGTTTTAAATTAATTTAATTGGGTTTCATTATGAAAATATTCTCTGATCACTTCAGTTGGCATAGGCTAGCAGGCCCATTTTTCAAAATCTGTTTGCTTAATTCCTGATAGTGACTGTAATTTTAACAATTACCCTACTTGAACAACTGCATTAGCTTCTTATAATAAATATTTAGGAAATGAATACATGTTAGTAAATTACTCTTGAGGCCCACTCTGCTGATGCATGTAACAATCTTCCTTTTTGAGGTCAGGAAAAAGAATCCCTGTTAATTCTAAATCAGCGTGACCCTGTTCTTTTTCTTTTCAACCTGTTTTGTTGGCAAAATTGATGACATATGAATCTGGATAATAATGATCTAGTCAATATGGTAGAGATTGAAACTGAAATGATCACTTACAAAAAAGGCTTGTTATTTTCTGAATTTTACTTATCAAATGATT